TGCCTGTGTTTACATATTTTGACAGATGAAGCAGAAGGAGGGACACCCTCTCCAACCAGTTGTCACATTTTAATTATGCTTAATTGCCCCCTTTCACATTTCATAGTGAATTTTTTTTTCCTAACATGTTTCCCAATTTACCTAACTAAATGAAATGGTAACCTGAGTGACAAGAATACATATCACAAAAGAAAGACCCTAATACCTAGAGAGAATGAGCCGGAAAAAGAAACAAAACAGGAGGGACTTGGAAGGTGTTTTTCTTACTAGGGTTCCTCTAAAGACATTATTCTCAGGTTTTCTCTAAGGAAGAGAGTCTGTTCACATGTCACCTTCCTACACATATGACAATATTTCTACTACTCTTACGCTTGTCTCTTCCTCAGGGGAAATGAGAATGAAACATTTTATGACTTGTTAATTTATCTCAGTTTACATTTATTTATTTATTCATTCATTCATTTATTGAGACAGGGTCTTACTTTGTTGCCCAGGCTGTATGGTTCTGGCTCACCGCAGCCTCAACTTCCTGAGCTCAAGCGATCTTTCTGCCTTAGCCTCCTGAATAGCTGGGACCTCAGACATACACTATCATGTCTGGCTAATTTTTGTATTTTTTTGTAGAGATGTGGTCTCACGATGTAGCCCAGTGCTAGGATCACAGGTATGAGTCTCCATGCCTGACTTGTTTATTTGTTTGTTTGTTTGTTTATATGTTGAGGCAGTCACTTTGTGACCTGGGATTTTAGACTGTGCCCACTTTCCACCCCGCCATCAGAATGCTCCACAGATAACTGCTCAGTTTAATTTCATGTATATCATATGGCAAAATCTGGGATTTATTTCTAGTTCTACTACTTAGCATTCATCAGAGCTCAAACAAATCTCTTTGAGCCTCATCATGAACAAGCACAATAATATCTATTTTAAAGGCCGTGGGAACAAACATATGAGATCCATTTTGTATAAGTGCTTTGTAAACTATAAAGCACCAAACATACGTACTCTGGAAGTAAGGTACTGTCCTAAAACACTAGGAAACATAAGATGTTCTGAGAAAGGCATACCAGGGACCCCTGAGGAAGCTTATGACTCTTGTGTCCATTTCAAGAGATAAAAGAGACTAAAAGAATGGAGAAATAAATTATTTAAAACATGTCTGAGTCAGGAGGTAGGACCTCCATAGAGAATAGTTCAGCAGGTTTCATAAAGCATTCCTTTGTGTCCCTGTGCCATAGACCCTGTGCAAGTTTCTAGTGTGGCTTCTTTCACATGGTTGAAGATGTGATTACTTGCCTTTCCTCTATCCCTGTCCTATACACTGAGAATTCAAGGAAAGGGCTTGTATCAGGCATCTTTGCATCTCCAGCACTTAGCTGGTTTTCTTCTGGGTACTACCAGTCTGTGAGGTTAATGATGCTTCTTAATGTGATAGAACAATTCCTGCCCTCAAAAGATGTCCACTTCTCAATCCCTGAAATCTGAGACTATGTATTACTTTATATGGCAAAAGAGACTTTGCATATTTGATCAAGTTAAGGCTCTCCAGGTGAGGAAATTATTTTTGATTACCTTGTAGGACTCAATAAAATCACAAGGTCCTTATAAGAGGGAAGCCAAAGAGGAAAATGAGCTGTGATGGCGAAACCAGAGGTTGGAGTGATGTGCCTTGAAGATAGAGGACCACAAGGTAAAAGAAAATTTTAAAATGCTATTTCTGGGAAAGACAAAGAAACAATTCTCCATTGAAGCCTCCAGAAAGAATATCACCCTGTGATTTTAGGCTTCTGACCTTCAGAATTATAAAAGAGTAAATTTGTGTTGTTCTAAGCCACTAAGTTTGTTGCAGGAGGAACACAAAACTAGTACGCTTAGATAAGAAAGTAAATTAATAACTGGCATCTGAATGAACAAGGGAATGAAGAGATGAATGAATGGAGAGAGCTCTAGATAGAAAGTGGAAAGATTCAGTTTTCGGTCCCATCTTAGCTAATACACCAACTGGGGAACTTGTGCCCCATCACTTGATCTCTGCAGAAGGAAGACTTCCGCATAAGAGGCTGCAGAGTCAGACTGACCAGGGTTCAAAACCCTTCCAGGTTAGTTCCTGGCTGGGCATCCTCGGGCAAATGCTCACCTCTCTCAGCCTCATGTCTACATGTGTAAGATGGGGGAGAGCAAGAGGACCTCTTGCATAAAATTGTTGTGGGGATAACGAGCTACAATTCAGTCACATTTGATGGGGCTCTGGACTAGGCAAATTTGAAATTGTGGGCTCATAAAAATGTTATTAATGTCACGTCATGCACAAAACTTGAAATCATGCAAATTTCCCAATTAAAAAAAGGTCAAGAATGGCAAAACTGGTCACCGTAAACAACTGATTACCACATGGTGAGACTGTCTCAACTGTTTAACAGAAACACCCACCGTCCTTTGAGAGAATCCATGTTGAATTATGCAAGCTGTAAATTATACAAACAACGAATTATGAGAGATCTTCAGGAACAGACCCTGGAACAAAATATGGCTACCTTTAATGCATGCAAAGCAATTAGCAGGGGCCTGGAACACAGAAGGCTAATACTCTGCTATTATAATTATATTAGTTCAATGATAAAAGACTCAGAACAAACACTTCCACCGCCATGGAAAAGGAAACGAACTCCAGCTTTCCCATGGGCCTAAGCTTTACATGGGCCTCTGGCTCCTTTCAGAGAAATCCTGCAAGTTGGAATATGTGAGTCAGGTGTGCTAATGACACTCCATATTATGAAGCAATAAATTTCCCAGCTCTTGCCCAAAACGTGGAATTTGGCCTCAGGGAGATTTTAACTACATGTTCCACTAGTATCACTGGATCACTATGTACATCTTGCATTAACTATTTAGAATAGTAGAATTTGTGAGATGAAAGGGATCTCCATGGGCCTTAGCACCACCAAGCTATACCTGCTCTTGTCTCTGTTCTCATTTCTTGACTGCCCAGAGCAGAAGACTGTGCTATGTACTCACTAGAAGTTCAACCAATGTTTGTTGAATGCATAATGACCGTTACGGATCATTGTACATTTTCCCTCCCCCATTTTATAGATAAGGAGCCTGAGGCCATTTAGAGGGATGACTGAAACATCCCTTCCATGGAGGATTAATTCAAGTTCATAACTGTCTTCTCCCTAGAGGAAAAAGCTAATTTCCCAAAACTAATAGACTGGGTTATGGAGAGGAAATAGTTATACAACACATTTTTAAAACTGCGTCTGTTTTTCTGAGTCGCTTCCACTTTCACAAAATGAATTCTGATGATGATGTTAAGTGTCTACACCACAGATTTGGCTAATGACTGGTGAAGCAACTGAAAGAGAATGATTAAACACACACACACACACACACACACACACACACACACACACACAACCAGTCATCTGGATGAAAGACATCCATAGTGAAGAGGTCAGATCAAACCCAGGAGTGATGCTAGGTTATTTAGTTCTAATGAAGCCAGGTGTTCCCTGGTGGTAGGGGGTGGGGGGACAAATGATCTACTTTTCAGATTCACATGACTCTTTTAGGCTGTACAGAACCACTTGATTCAAAATTGAGTCCAATTTTTTACTTATATCTCAACTTTGTGCCGAAACAGATATAATAGCTAGAAAACATTCAGGCTAGGAAGACTTAAATATGTATCCTACCTTTAGGTGACCACCCATCAGGAAAAGCTGAACAAAGGGAAAAGCATTCTCTTTGTCATAACCACTGCTCAAGAAGAGTCTAAACCCTTTCCCTAGAAATGGATTTTAGTGATTTTTCTACTGTCTTTATGGAGCTAACTTTAATCTTCTTTGAGGTAGCTTAAGTCACCTCCTTGCATTGTATTAACTGGAAACAGAGATTTTCCCTCCTTTATGATACAGTACCTTGTAGGTTTCAAGAGTCAACTACTGAGAATATAGCCTTCTTACGGCTAACTATGCACTATGCCTAGATTTCTTATTCCGCTATGATATTTTTATTTTTATGGTGATATCCTTAACACCTGGGTCCCTGTGCTCACTTCCCCAAACCCAGTGGCATTTTAACCAGCAAAAAACCTTGTGTCACCCAGCGATTCCTCAAAATTCCACTCATTTCCTTGCTTTTTATTTTTTAAGCTTTTCATGCATACTTGTAAAGTGGATACTGGGTCTCTATTTGTGCTTTCAAGAGATTTTCATTGGAAGTCCTAAATTTATCTATACAGAGTATCTGCACTGTTTCTTATGTATTTCCCTTTTCCTGTACCAGAGCCTTCTCATCCATGTGGCCAACTTGGGGCATACTCACATACTCACATACTCACATTGCTTCCCAGCTATCTACTTTATAGTGTCAAAGGATAGGCTATCAGGAGAAGATGATACCTTGTGACTTCAATAACCATTTATTCTGAAGTACAAGCCCAGACCTCATCCTGCTCTTCTGTCCACACTCAGACTCAGTGTGAAACTGATCTCACCAGGTCATTATTCAGTTACCTGGAGCCGCCACTTCTCCACAAATCTGCCATGAGTGTCATACCCTCGCACTTTGTCCAGGCTTCTCTTCACCTTGTTCTCTATTCCTCAGACCCACCACAAATGTCATACCCCAGAAAGTATTCCTCACCTCCTCAGAGAGGATGATTCACTCCCTCCTCTACATTCCTGGAGACTGCTGAAGACACCTCTCTTATAGACCTGTCCACAGAGTACCACGATGCTTTCATACAAAAGTTTGTTTCACTATAAACTTACTTTTGCATCTTCTTAAATCTGTTTCACAGTAGGAGTTCAAGAAATTAAAATGAGTTAAATAAATGTCTGTATGATTACTCAAACCAGAGGTGACTAGTTTGGCTCTTAGTACCAGGGTCTAGACCATGCCTTTTATTCACTTCTAGATCAGAGTGGAGAAACCTACAGAAATACAAGAAAAACAAGCCAACCGGTACCCAGCCAAGAGTAAGAAACATGATGTACCTGATAGACCATTATATTAACAGTTTCTTCTTTTCTCTGCTCTGGAGGTCCTTGACTCTGCAATAGATTTCGTACTGTTTCTTCCATCCTGAGAAACAAAAACATAAAGGATTTCTTAAAGGCGGTTTCTGATTAACATGGGTCTGTTCCAGTTAGCAGAAAACATTCTTCAGTGCGTATATCCCAAGTTTAGACTTGAAAATCTCTTTTCTCTTCTCTCTCCTTCATCCCCTATTAAGAATCTCTCATGAAGTCCTTTAAAATCATCCCTCAGGATTCTGCATTTTCTCTCTTTCTCTTTAGAAGAAACCCCAACAGCATTCTCTGTCTCTCTCTTTTTCCCATTCAGGTCTCTATCCTTGATCTTGGACATCTACATTCATGCAAGTAATTTTCAACATCCTGCCTCACTCCCAATTGCTCCCTTTTAATTTGATACAGTGTCACTACATTAATCTTCCTGAAACACTGCTTTGATTTTTTAAAATCAATTTTGAAAGTTAACAAATATTACATGAATGCATTCTCTCCATTAATATGCCATCAGGTCTTTCTGTGATGGTCTTTCCATGTCAGCATATACAGATTTACTTCATTCTTTTCTACTACAGTTCAGTGCTGCTGATTGACAGAGATATGTTCTGAGAAATGTTGACATGCATCTCTAGGCGATTCTGTTGTTGTGTGAACATGACAGAGTATACTTAGACAAACCTAGATGGTATAGCTTACTACATATGTAGGCTGAATGGCACGGCTATGGCTCTACAAATCTGTACAGCATGTTACTGTACTGAATTCCCTAGACAACTGTAGCCCAATGTTAATCATTTGTGTATCTAAACATATATAAGCATAGTATATATACAGTAAAAACACTAGACAAAAGATAAAAAATGGCACGCCTATAAAGGCCACTTCCCAAGAACAGAGTTGCAGAGTTTGTAGAGGCAGCACTGGGTGAGTCGGTGAGTGAGTGGTGAGTAAATATCAGGGCCTAGGACATCTGTACACAAATGTAGACATTATAAACACTGGACACTTCGGCTACCCTACATGTATTAAAAAATGTTTTCTTTCTTCAATAATAAATTAACCTTAGCTTACTATGATTTCTTTACTTTGTAAACTTTAAAAATGTTTTAAACTTTTTAAATCTTTTGTAATGACATTTAGATTAAAACACAAATACAAAACAAAAGTAGTTTCTTTATCTCCTAATCTATAAGATTTTTTTCTATTTTTTTAACTTTTTCAAACTTTTTTGTTAAAAACTAAGACAGAAACACATACATCAGCCTAGGCCTCCACAGGGTCAGGATTATCAAGACATCACTAGTCAAAAGGAATTGTTTAGTTGCATTATAATTTGCGGGGGAGGGGGAACCATCTGGTATTCCGGAACCATCTGGTAGTCCGTGTTGACTGAAACATGGTTATATGTGTCACATAACTGCGCCTCTTAGTATGTCATGGTGTGAACGCACCAAAAGTTATTTAATCATCCCCCTACATGCGATTGCTGCTTCTTGGAGAGCTGATTCCCTTTCACCTTCCCATATTCCATTCATCTTTCCAAGTCCACCTCAGGTTTCATTTCCTAAGATACTTCCCCATGTATCTCCCACTTCTTTGAATTCTTACAGCTATACTTTAAGCTATCACTTAAAATCCCCTCACTTCAATGCTCAGATATTTTGTACATGTAATTCTTATTTTCTGGCGTAAATGACAACATTTAGTACAGGACTATGTCGTGTATTTATGTGTATTCTTTGATTATGAACAAAATACTTAGTAAATACTGTTATATGAATATTTTGTCAATTCATTTTTAAAGTATGAAGTACTTACTCTATGCCAGGCATTCATAATGTATATTCAGACTGTGTTTGAATGTCCTTGTTTTGGGGGCCCAGCCATGAGGATTCCCAGCCATGAGGATTCATAGACCAGAACTCTGGGAGCAAGATGCCTGAACTCAATGCACCAAATATATCACTGTTTGTCCAGAACCTTAGTTGGTTGCTTTTTCCAGTCCCATCCTGCAGCATGTATTTTAGTGACACAGTATGATACTGGTTTAAGAGAATTGTGGGGAAAAAAGACTGATCTAGCTTCTGCCTCTTACGAAGGGCTGCTAGAGAGACAAAGTAAGGTCTGTAGAAAGTCTACAAATCCCCTGACGTGGAAGCAAGGGAGTACAGTCCAAAATGCCAGTCTTTCTAATATGGCATATAACTGCTCAGGAGCAGAGTGAAAAAACTGCAAATGAACCAGAAAAGTCCAAACCCAGATTACTAATTAGAGAAATTCTGCCATCACAGAGAATGACACCCAGACCAATTCAGGTTTTCAAGAAGACAGTAGACATTGGTTGTAAGGACTCAAAGAATGATTTGTGACCACACATTTATACAAGCCACCTCTTCACCAATCCAGATGATAGGCAGAAGCTGTTCCCTAATTTTCACAAATTTTATGTTATTAATAATAACTCAATTGAATAGTACTTTTACTTGTCAAATAACTCATCTATCAATCATTACAATGTACTCTTAAAATATCATTATATCTATTAGGTAGATGAGAAAGCTGAGGCCCAGAACGATTATGTGGCTTACTTAAGGGAAATTAGTTAGGATTAAACCATTTCAGCTGGGTATGGTGTCTCACACCTGTAATCTCAACACTTTGAGAGGTTGAGGTGGGAGGATTGCTTGACACCAGGAGTTCAAGACCAGTCTGGACAACAGAGTGAGACCATGTCTCTACAAAAGATAAAAAAAAAATTAGCTGGGTGTGGTGGCACATGTCCCAGGTACTCAGGAGGCTGAGTTAGAAGGATCACTTGAGCCCAGGAGTTCAAGGCTTCAGTGAGCTATAATCACACCACTGCACTCCAGCCTGGGCAACAGAGTGAGACCCTGTCTTTAAAAAATAAAAATTAAGCCAGGCTCGATGGCTCAGCCTGTAATCCCGCGCTTTGGGAGACTGAGGTGAGTGGATTGCATAAGCCCGCGGGTTCGAGACCCGCCTGGGCAACTTGGCAAGACCTCATCTCTACAGTTTAAAAAAAAAAAATTAGCTGGGCGTGGTAGTACGTGCCTGTAGTTCCAGCTACTTGGGAGACTGAGGTGGAAGAATCGCCAGAGCCCAGCCAGTCGAGGCTGCAGTGGCCGGGAGCGGCCACTGCACTCCAGTCTGGGAGACAGAGTGAGACTCCAACTCAAAAAATAATTAATTAATTAATTAAAAATAAACCATTTTTTACAGATTCTAAATATAGCAGCCTCTTTTCATTCAACCTTACTAACATTCAAAAAATGGTTTTAAATGAGTAAGAGTCTTAACTCCGAACAAGCCATTAAACAACTTTGGACACTGAGCCCAAGGAGGCAACAATATTCTTTCTAAGCTGCAGAGAGCTCAAGATCTCATAGAAGAGAAAAACTAAGAATGCACACACACATGGTATGAATATGTAACAAATTCTGAAACAATAAGTGATCAGAGCCAATTTTTAATACTTTTTTCATTTTATGTAAGCAATCTCTTGAATGTTAGTAGATTTTTCATGATGTTTGCCAAATCTATCATAAACAAGGAAAGTAATGACAGCGGCTTTCATACTTGCCCAAGATCACTCAGATTGTTCCTGGCAGATCAAGGACTAGTCTTCTTGTTTTCTAAATATTAGTCTACTTTCTGCCCACCTTAGCACAGAAGCTGGATGTCTTATTTCAATCTTTATTTCATTCATTTATATACATCTGGCTTAAATAGTTAGAACTCAGTTAAAATGAAATCATATCTTTTTTTAAACAAAGTTAAAACATAATTCTGTCTCAGAGCATATCTTGCTGAATTGTCTCTTCTGTATAATTAAAAGCTGTAGACACAAGTTGCTCAATCAAAAAAGAAAAACATCTATTGACCTTTTCCCCATTCTTCTTGGCTTCATACTTTTAAAAAATAAGAAAAAGTGGGGGTGGACAGGAAATTGTTAAAACAACCTCAAGCAGTTCAGAACTCTCAGTGATACTGTGAACACTTTTCTGGCACTACTTGATGATTAATTAAAACCAATTACATTTCCAACCTACAGCTTGGAACAGAGTCGCAGGGCCCCATCCCAATCCTTGGTAAAAAATCAAGTTGTTGGATTTTTTCATAACCTCTATGAATCTGGTCACAGAGAAAATGTTTTGAACCTGATGAGAATGTGTCATTATTTATTTCCTGATGACATTTTCTTTTTTAAATTCTCATTTAGTAAATTTCTCTATCTATTTTCCCGAAAATCAAAGACTGTGAAACATTACCCATTGTTTGATGCCCAATGACATTTTGCTTCATTTTATTTTTTTGATAGCTAATGTTTGAGAGAGTTTGCATTACCAGTCAGCATCCAGTGCCGCTTCACCATCTGTCTCCCAAACACAGCTAAAAAGAAGTCAGTTCTTCTTTCCAGTTATGGCTTGGGCAGATTTTGGTTTTCTATTTTTTAAGTAACTGATGGATGTAATTCATCCTTAAACATTGACCTTAATCAATGTCTTCTCATTCTTCTTCTTCCTCCCACACCTGAGACTAAATCCTTTTTTACCCTAAATATTGGTCAAGTAGCTGTCAGAAGTAAAAACATATAGACTCAAAATTTACTTAATGAGATGTAATAAATTCTAATGTGATTAAGTGAACTATTTTTTAAAAGTTAACTTCTAGCCAAGTCAGAAGAAATAAACCAAATACATATGCAAGTGTATGTTTCAGGTAATATAGGTATAAAGATGGGAATTGTATTTTATGAAAATAGATTCCATTTTTAAGGTACACATTACTTAATCAATAAATTCTTATTACAATATAGTATTTCCTCTGAATGAAGCAAAAACCTATCATTTTTGTTTAAAAAGGGCACTAAGTTAAAATTTAGGAAAATAGAATATTAAATAATAATGCATGAAAAGAGTAACAATTCAGAAACTCACAAGGGCAGGATTAGGGAGCCATCATAACTAAATTCTCTCCCTGTCCCCAGAGGTCGACCTTTGTCACAGACCCCCTTTTGAAGTGCAGATCACT